TCAAAAGCGCCAAGAAAAACAAAAGAAAAATTAAGGAAAAACGGGAATTTTTACGCAAAATCGATTTTTCAGAAAATTGAATTTGGTTTTTGGTGTAACTTTAAAACAAATGACCGTAGATACATGAAATTTTCACTGGTTGTTTATATTTGCATTTTCTATACACGATAACATTTTCAAAATATTTTGATTTATTTTGAACAGTTTAGGGACATTTTCATTTTTCATTTTTTTTAGTTTTTTTTCTAGAAATATCAATAAAATTTTATTTGTTGGTTAAAAAAACTTGAAAATTTAATAGAAGGCTCCTAGTATATTGTTTCAAAGGCAGATGAAAAATATTAAAAATCGTTAGTCACAGTTTTTTTTTATAAGCATTTAAAGTTCAAAAATTGACAAAATATGGAAAAATCACGAAAATTAGCAAATTATTTTGAGTTAAGAATTCGTAAAAATTTTTCTTTTTAAATCTAAGATTTGAAAATCTAATACAAGATTACTTATAAGTTTGTCTACCTTTATCAATAAAAAAATCTCTACCGGACAGTCAAATTAAATTTTTATGAGCGTTTGAAATTCAAATTTTTACAACATTGGATGTTCACTCGATTTCTCATGTAGCGATTTCCTTATTTTGTTGTTATTCATAAACGAATAACTATAGATACATGAAAATTTCACTGAATGTTTATATTAACATTTCCTATACACCATACAATTTTGAAAATATTTTGACTCTTTTTGAGCTGTTTACGGATATTTTCATTTTTCAATTTTTTTAGTTTTTTTTTCTATGAATATCAATAAAGTTTTATCTGTTGGGCCAAAAAGTGTACAAATTTAATACAAGGCTCCTGATATATTGTTACAATATCAGTTGAAAAATATTAAAAATACATAGTCACAATTTTTTTTTATAAGCATTTAAACATCGAATTTTGACAGAATTTTTCAAAATCTCGAAAATAATTAATCATCGTAATTAATAAATTATAAAATGTTCAGTTTTTATAGCTAAGGATTGAAAATGAAAAACAAAATTCCACGTAAGTAATTAATTCTCTTACCGAAAAATCTAAAAAATATACAATCACTGTTTATTTTTATAGTCATTTTATGTTCAAATTTGGACGAAATTACATATTAAAAAACCTAGTTATTTTGTTGTGATTATATAATATTATTCGTGGGTACCTACTTGAAACTTCTAAAGTGTACTATTATATATCTATGATAGTATCAGGGTTTGTTATTGATGTTGATGTATAACATGTTATAAGTACCTAATGGATATTGTGATAATGTGATATGATTAATTTGGAATTTATTATAGGTCAATTTTTTTTTTTAATACCATAGATATGTATATAATTTGTCTTAAACCTAGACTGACATACCGTCTTCGCTCAGAATCGTTTTTCTTATACAATGATATTGTATCATTGAATTCAAATTTAATACCATCCATTATACAGTGACCCACTTGTAACCTACTGTACAGCAGAGCGACATCCACTTACCCACCTTTTTTTTAGTTTTTTTCTAGAAATATCAATAAAATTTTATTTGTTAGTTAAAAAAGCTTAAAAATTTAATAGAAGGCTCCTAGTATATTGTTTCAAAGGTGAATGAAAAATATTAAAAATCCTTAGTCACAGTTTTTTTTTATAAGCATTTAAAGTTCAAAAATTGACAAAATATGGAAAAACCACGAAAATTAGCAAATTATTTTGAGTTAAGAATTCGTAAAAATTTTTCTTTTTAAATCTAGGATTTGAAAATCTAATACAAGATTACTCATAAGTTTGTCTACCTATATCAATAATAAAATCTCTACCGGAAAGTCAAATTAAATTTTTATGAGCGTTGGAAATTCAAATTTTTACAACATTGGATATTCACTCGATTTCTCATGTAGCGATTTCCTTATTTTGTTGTAATTCAAAAACGAATAACTGTAGATACATGAAAATTTCACTGAATGTTTATATTAGCATTTCCTATACACCATACAATTTTGAAAATATTTTGACTCTTTTGAGCTGTTAACGGACATTTTCATTTTTCAATTTTAGATTCTGAGTGGAACGATGAATGTATTGATTTTACAATGATGTGTTTTTGTTTTTTTTTGTGTCTGTCATCACGTTTTAGGACAGTAAAAGTGCTTGGATTTTCTTCAACAGTATCTTTTCTGATAGGAGAGTGAATCTAGTTGGTACTTTGGGGGGTCAAAAGTAAAAATTTTCCAGTAGTTTTCATATGCGCCGGGAAAAACAACATAACAATTAAGGAAAAACGGGAATTTTTACGCAAAATCAGTTTTCCAAAAAATCGATTTTGGTTTTTGGTGTAACTCTAAAACAAATGAACGTATATACATGAAATTTTCACTGGTTGTTTATATTTGCATTTTCTGTACACGATAACATTTTCAAAATATTTTGATTTATTTTGAACTGTTTAGGGACATTTTCATTTTCCATTTTTTTTTAGTTTTTTTTCTAAAAATATCAATAAAATTTTATTTGTGGGTTGCGAAAGTTTGAAAATTTAATAGACGGCTCCTAGTATATTGTTTCAAAGGCAGATGAAAAATATTAAAAATCCTTATAGTCACAATTTTTTTTATAAGCATTTAAAGTTCAAAAATTGACAAAATATGGAAAAATCACGAAAATTAGCAAATTATTTTGAGTTAAGAATTCGTAAAAATTTTTCTTTTTAAATCTAAGATTTTAAAATGTAAAACAAGATTTCAGATTCCTAATTCTGACAGTAATGATGACGAAACCTACTAGACTAATTCATAACCATTATACCAAATAAACTCTATATTAAACCAATTATGATAATTTATAACAGTCTTTAAATACTCCAACGGAATCCAAATTGATTCTTCTCCAAATTAAATGAAACCAATTTATTATTAAACAAATACAATCCAATCTCAATATGACTACAAGAAACTAATTTTTATTGGTAGACAACAAGGTCGACTTCCTAAAATACTACACAGCATACTATAAAAATAGAACTGATGCTGGCAGATCCAGTGGTGGGGCAACCTATATAAATTCAAATTATCACTTCGAAGAAATTATTATTAATACTTATCTAAAAGTGGTTGCAGTAAATGTTTTGATTAATAATCCAATAACAATAACAATAAAAATCTGCAATATAAACCCACTAAACTCTCATGATTTTGAGCCGTCCAATATTCAAAACATTATAAATCAACTCCCCACCCCTCATTTCTCTTAGGAGACTTCAACAGTCACAGCCTTTTATGGGGCGCTCCAACCTTGACTAACAGGGAACTATAATCGAGCAAACACTTTACAGCAACAACGACCTCAATATACTTAACAGTGGCCAAGCTACAAGAGTTAGTGGCTCGGGACACCTTTTAGCCATCGACCTTTCATTCCCATCATCTACAATTACTCCCTAGTCCCTACATAGATTGGGATGCCACACCAGAATTATCAAGTAATCATCAGAATCATCATGACTCTCAATCTCATCAATCCATATAATCATTATACTGGAACAAAAAATGGAAATAAAAAAAATTTCGATTGGAAAACATACCAAACGGAAATTTATAAAAATATTTTATTAACATCTTGGACAAATACTAATAATATAGAAGATAACATAAAAATTACCACATTATAAATACAGTATCTGATGTTGTTGAGTTAACTAGCTACTCCAGCAAGATACCTCCAGTCCCTTGGTGAAATAAAACTATTAAACAAGCTATACAGAAAAAAACTGCATTTAACAAATACAAGCGAACCTTAGACTTCAAGATTTTAGACAATTTAAAAAAAAACAAAGCGCTAGTCAGATTTCACATTAAAAGTGAATAAAAAAAGTCATGGAAAAATTGTACATCTAGTTTAAACAGTCATATTTCCCCAACCACAATGTGGAACAAAATTAAAACATTAAAAGGAATAACCTTTACACAAATAAAAACACTGATGGTAAGGCACTGTATACAGAAATAGATCTTTATAAAGAGAAATGTAGTATCAATAGGTCACATAATCGGCAACAAAAATATTACATATTATGTCTCTAGAATATCAAACAACAGATACTGCATTTTTCTATCAAACAAACAGATACTCGACTCACTGATAGAAAACACTTCAACAATAAATATAAGCAAAGAAGTTATCCAAACCCGCATACTAATTAACCCCGCTAAAAGGATAGTCATATCCAATGTTTGTCCATCAATACCTAACCAAGCCATACTAGAAACCTTACATAATTCCTACTTCTCAGGTCAACCATTTCAAAGCTGGTATCAACATTGATGGATATAATATTGAGCTTCCGTTGTCAGGAATACATTTATTTATGCATATGACATTTTCAGCTTATCAATAACTCAAGGAGTAACATTGAAACGGTGCACGTATTTCACGTGGCACCGTTGTGTAATAATGAAAAACTTCTTCGGGTTTTAGTATGAAAGATGTTTATTTCCATGGAATGATTAATTTATTTACAATATATGGGAGGGGTCCGAAAGCCAGCCGGTTATCGAATCCCCGTACAATAGTATGAATGTTTATACTGTTAAATACAATTTATGGGATGAGGAAGAGGCTTGAACATATCGGGCCCGCTTATGAAAGTGGCGTCCGCTCTATGGGCCTCGTCCGGTTAGCGTGGCCGTAACAGGCGCGCTTGGGGGGTCTATATAAAGGTGGTTGTCCTGAAAAGGACAAGTTTTTGGTAGTTCCCGCGGTTATCCGACGGTATAAGCCGTCGGCCGGGATGGGTTCGGCTGGGGCGTCGATTGTTAGCGCCGATATCCCCGCGGTCTTGAGACGATATTACGGCGTTGCCCGTAGATACGGTTTGACGCTGATTGTTGCACTTCGAGGACGTTCGTCAGGTGTCTATGGGTAAGAGTGTAAGACAGTGCCTGATGGTCGATTAGCCCTGAGCGGTGCTGAACAATATACACGCCGTCAGTCGTATGGTATAGGCAACCCGTAATCCGTTGCCAGTGGAATCGGCGTGGTCGGTGGTCCTGCTGTCGTTCGCAGTTGGTGTTGTAAGAGCACTTGATAGCTCGCTTCCGCACCAGGCGCTATTCGCAGATCGCCGTTGTGGGAGCGCTTGATAGCTCGTGTCTGCGGCAGGCGCTTCGTAGATTGTCGTTTGGTCGTCTGATTCGGCGGGTGTTGCTTCAGTCCTTCAGGTCTCGTTCTTGCTGGAGATGTTGACGGTTTGAAGGTTTGAGTTGAAGTGAAGTACATCGGGGAACGCACCGGTATATATACCTGTTCACCGATGTATTCCGGTTTCTGATTGGCTGCCGGCCCTTTGGTTAGGCAATACCAACTGTTTTCGTTCCGATGGTCGCTTGGTTGAAACGATGTCATTTTCCATCGGCAGAATTCATATATTTGTCATATGATAATATATGTTGGCCATGAGAATGGCCGTTTTAGTGGTGTATGTTTGTTCCGTTACAACATTAATTACAAAATAAAATAACTAGTAAAATAAATGATGTAACATCAAAACAATAGTCAAAATAATTAAAAAGTAAATCAATTATAGTGGTGATAATAATGGTAACAACATTAACAGTGGTACCTATAGTGAATGGGTAACAAGTAGGAAGATATCACAAACGTATAGTGAGTTCGTCGCACCGTTTGGCGGCCGCCAGGCTGACCTTGTGCAATTTGGCTAACCCTCCTTCAAACTTCGTGTTAGGGCATATCTGGACAATGTGATTGATAGTTTGTTTATCACCGCATTCGCATAGTTGAGAGTCGAACATTCCCCATTTATGGAGTAAGTAATTGCATCTTCCCTGCTCCGTCCTGATGCGGTTGAGAGTTGTCCATTGGGCCCGAGTAAGATCCCATCCAGGTACTTTTATAGTTGGGTCAGTAAAAAGGGTTTTGTTACGAGTTTCTGCTATGTCCCATCGGTTTTTCCATAACCGTTCTGTGGGCTCTTCGGGTACTTCATTACACCAGATAGGGTACCTTGACCTTAGCCTAATTGGGGGATGTTCTAGGATATCCTTTGGTAGGGGGCAAGTTTTGAAATGTGCTCAGTTTTAAGATGGTTTTTGAAGTATGAGATAACCTCCGGAGGTCGAGAGGGGCTATGTTTGATAGGACCGGTAGCCATTCCGTTTGTGTGGATCTTACAGTTTCTGAGATGATGCGCATGGTGTGATTTAGTTGTACATCCACTTTTTTTACAATGCATACTTCTTGCCCATACTGGTGAGCAGTATTCGGCGACACTATATACTAATGCTAGGGCTGAAGTTCGGAGTACACTGGTACTACATCCCCAGCTGGAACCGGTAGCTTAGCTATGATGTTGAGTGTTTTTAACTTATTTTTAACGGATTCCAGATGTTGGCTATAAGTTAGAGTTCTGTCGAATTTCACTTCTAAGTATTTGGGACATCTTCTGTAGCGATTTTTTTACCTGCGATCATTATTTCAAGTTCATTTTTTGCTTCCCGATTGTTGAGATAGAAGGTTCTTGTTATTGACTTATTTGGATTAAGCGTTAGGTGCCACTCTTGAAAATATGTTTGCATTTTGTCTAGGTCTTCATTAAGCGTACTCTCTAATTCTGCGAAGCTTATGGCATGAGTTACTAACCCCACGTCATCCGCATACATGAATTTTCTTGAAGACGTTTCGGTAATAACTGCTATATATGCGTTAAATAATAGTGAAGACAGTACTAATCCTTGAGGGGGTAAATTTTGAGGCGCTTGTAGTGACTTTCTTTGCCACTAAGAGATACTCGGAATTTAATATTTGACAGGATGTTATCTATTAGTCGTACCGTTGTTCTGAATTTTAATATTTTCGACAGTTCTAGAATTAAACCTCACTTCCAGACTGTGTCATACGCAGAAGAAAGGTCTAGGAAAACCGAACCGGACTTATGCTGTCTTTGGAACCCGTTTTCTATATGCGTGGCTAAAGCTAGAGCTTGTTCGCAGCAATTTCTATTTAACTAAAACCGGCTTGTTCAATGGGCAAGGATGCTTCAATCATCGGTTGTAAACGTGTTAGGATCATTCTTTCAAAGAGTTTGTATGTTGATGATATCAGAGATATTGGACTATAATTTTTGGGATCGGTGCGCGGTGGGTTCTTTATTGGGCTTTAAGATGGCCATAACTTTGGATTCGTGCCAAGACTTAGGGATGTTACTCGAGTTTACTATGTTTGTGGCAAGTGTTGCAATCCATTTAGTACTTCTGGGTCCAAGGTTTTTTAGAAACTCTGGAAGTACTCCGCCCGTTCCAGCTGCTTTTCCATTTTATACTGATTTAAGTGCGTTTAGGACTTCCTCTCCGGTAAAGTCTGTCAAGAGTGACGTCTTTTCTTTGCATAGATTTAGTAGTTCTAAAAGTTCTTTTCTCACTTCTATTTTTTCCCTCTTTTGGGGTTTGATATTAGACGTTCTGAACAGTAGGTTAGCTATATCACTGGCTGCAACACTCAAAACTTTCCTTGATGGCTCCGCTGCTGCTTGTTTTCTCAAAAGGGCCCAAATTTTCCTGCTCGAGAAGGTGTAATCCATCTCTTCTATTGCGGAGATCCACCTATTCCTTCTTTCCTAGTCTATTAGGGCCATTAAACGATTTCCAGTTACCTCACTTCCCAATTGCTCGTATTCATGTAGTAGAAGCTCGCATTCCTTATTCCAGCATGGTATATAATTCTGCCTATGTCCTTTTGGTATGGCTGTGGTAGCAGCTTTCTTGATTAGTTTTACGAATCTAAGGTAATTTTTTGGGATAGGCGGAATTCGGTTGATATTATCTTCCATGTTTTTAGTGTATTCTGGCCATCTTGCCTTCCGAAGTTTCCATCTAGGTATTACGGGCTTATTTATTCGTGGGAGGCTGATCCCTGTGTCTATAACAATAGGTTTATGTTGGCTCTTTGGGAACTTTTATAGGTTGGTCAATCTTATCTGATGATACAAAACATAGGTCAGGGGAAGGAAATCGTGCCCCACCTACCCGACTCAAATGTGCCGCCTTACTTAGCATTATATACTAAGTGCAAACGGTGAACAGCTGCCCAGCTAGTAAGTTTTCCCTAGTCTTCATTCTCGGTTGGGTAGCCCCATTCGGTTCTGTGTGAATTAAAATCACCTAAATAGATCGTTGGGCATTGTTGGACTGGGAGCACTGAGTTGGACCACCTTTCCGAGGATGGTTTGTATACGTTATAAATTATAAGATTTACTATACGGATGCCAATTGAGTGTACATTTCCAGCTATGGGAACCACGTTTCAACGTTTGTCTCTTCTATGTTTTGGTTAACATACGTTGCCAGCCCGTGTTTGAGATGTCCTATATAGTCGATCATATTGAAACTGTGGATTTCAGACGACTGGTCTCGCCTTCCGCACATGGGTCTCTTGTAGTGCGAGCACGTCTACGTTTTTGAACGTTCCGCTAAGGGTTTCGGATTTGGCTCTTGTTAAGCCTTCAAGGTTCAGGTGAAAAACTCTTATACTTCTTTGAGATTCCTTTTTACTTAGGTAGGATAGATCTACACAGTTTATGTTGTCTGTGTTTTTTATAGGTTTTTTGGTAATTCTTTGTTTAGCACGGGCAGCGCGAAAGTCAAAAGAGCCCTGAAAAGGCTGTTTTTGCCGAAAAGGCCAGGAGATCCAAGGACATCTTGCTGTCAGTGTGATGCTATTTGGTTTCGTGTGTTCATTGTAAAAAATTCACAGTTCAGATCCTTTGAAAAATTCAAAAACACACTACTCACCGGGGAGACCACGTGAAGATATAGCATCTCCTCCCTGAGGTATACATAAAACTCGAAGATTCACCAAAACTGTCCGGGTCCTAAACAATTATCCACAACCAAATATAATTCAGAATCTTTTTCACTGATGACACAATAACATGCTTATTATTAAAATCAACTGACCACACATCCAACTCGATCAAAAAATAAGCCACGAATACTCTCAGCCACACTCAACTTCCTTAGTCATATTTAACAGGTGGAACTTGGGCACAACCGAACATGCAGAAAGATTCACTTGTCTCCTCTGAAGATATTGAAGCAGAAGAGCGGCCGGAACCATCTACAGCAGCTACCCCCACCCACATGCGACGGACTTATGAAAATTATCCCTCCACCCAACCTCTCATCGCTCCCAGAATACGACACACACCAGCCTAGAAACACCCTATTTCTCCTTCCTTCTCTCCAAATACACCCAAAACCTCCCCCTCACCCTTTCCATCCACAAAGACCAAAAAAAGAAGAAAAACCAGCTAAAAGGCTCCTCAGACTCATAATCCTTCGAAGCTAATAATACCTCCCTACACATGTCAGATTTGGCAACCCACAATCCTCGCTACAACCCCACAAAAAAGTCAAAAGTGCGTTCCAATTATATATCACCAATCAGAACCAAAGATAAAATACTTAAGGCTCTCAAACCAGTATAGGAAATTTTCTCCAACAAGCCCTCTGTGACTGTGCTCCAGTTCAAGTTTTGTCTGGAAAATTACTTTAATAAAAACTTCAACATCCATAATCTATTCTAAGAGATTGACTCCAATACCTCATTCCTGATGAAAATCGTTGGCGAAATCCGTCCCAAAATCATCAAAACTTTCCTTAAACCCCACCTTACTTGACTAGATAATCTTCTGTTTCAATTTTCTCCACTTCAAGATTCTTAGAAAACCAAAGATTTCACACCAATTGATACGTACATATTCTCCACATCACACTTTACATTCCTGGAGACATGGTTACGTTATCCCTATTCTAAAACCTGAAAAAAAAAACAAGTTTCTCCCTTACCTATTGCCCTTTCTACCTTCTCAACCCTTATGTTAACTACTTGAGAAAATAATCAATAATCGTCAATCGACTTATGTGGTTTCTGGAGAAATCCGATTACCTCACGCCCGTGCAAAACGGTTTTATAAGGAACAGGATTACTACTAAAAACCTATTAAAAATAAAAAACGAAATTCAAACTACCCTTCAGCACAAACTAAATTAGGAATTATTTTTGACATTACCAAGGCATACGATACAGCTGGAGGCCTAGAATTATTTATAAACTCAACAAAATATTAACCAAAGGAAACATGTTAGAGTTCATAAACATCTTACTCTGCGACAGCACCTTTCCGGTCAAAACATTAAACTTTATCAGATACATTAGCACAGGAGAATGGTGTACCTCAAGGCTAAACAGCGCCACTATTTCAGTTACACTATTTCTAATCGCCATCAATGATATTTCCGAAGGAGTACATAGCCCGTTAAAATCCCTCTGTTATACGTGGACGCTTTTCACTATCATCTGCCACAGCTCCAACTCCAACACTATACAACAGTTTCTGCTAAACTCAACCAACAAACTCATGTTATCCTGGTCCAAAACGTCCGGATTTCGATTAGCGCCGAATAAAATGAGTCTTATACTTATCAATCGAAAAAATAAAAGGAAAAGATATCAATGAACATACGTAACTACCATCAAGAACAAAACTCAAATTAAAATCTTTGGAATAATTTTTGACTCCAAAGCCCCCTTGGCTCCCGTACATTCAACACATAAAAAAATCTTGCTATCCTAGAATTATCTTCTATTTCTATAATCAATTAATAATTATGTAACATTGTTTTCAATATAATGTATTATACTTGTTAAAATAAGTTTAATATAGTTATTCATTTTTTTTTATTTATATATCAGGGATGGGCAATTGGTTTTTCTGTATTTTATTTTATTTTATTAATTTATTAAGTTATTTTTTTTTTTTTATTTAAATTAAGCCTCGGCAACAATGAGCATTGGCAACAATGAGTTTAACTCTAAATTATTTACATGTTATATAATTTACATATTAAATACTATTGATAAGGTTGGACTTAGTAATAAAGGTTATTATGATTTATGAGTCTTATGTTGTCCGGGTGGAGGGCTTCTGACAGAATGTTTGAGATGCCTGCTTTTTTCCCCACTAGATTTTTGCACATTCAAAATTGGTCCTCTAGTAGCATTGAGTTGCCCATCCCGGCATCCCTGTTATTTATCATAATAATTAATATTATTTAATAACAATAGGTAAGTCTGGTAAGTACACGCAACATTGTTTTTTTATGAATCATATAAAATCAAAGTCGGTTGCAGGGGAGGTGGGTAATAGGGACAATTTCCCCACCCCGTTCAAAAAATTAAGATATCAAATTATAATGCGTATCAGATGTGGTGATTGATTGCACATAATGGCTTTGCTTATATTTAAATATTAATTTAAGGTTTTGTTGACATTGATTTGCCTAACTGGCAACTGCCTAAATCATTGTAATCTGTTTTCAAAAAAAAAGCTCCCACAAATATTTGGTGCCCCCAAAAAAGTGCTTCCTGGAGAAATGACCGCAAATTGCCCCCAAATACGCCACTTCAATTCTGTTATTCTTATAGAGCAGCGTTTCTTAAACTTTTTTATCCTTGGAACCCTTTTTTGTGTCCCCCTATTTTTATTTTTATTTTATTTAGCTTTAAACAATAAGTTATTACAGCTCCAAAATTAGAATCCCTAGGTACCTACTATTTGTTTCTTTGGTCATTTTTAGCTTCATATTATAATTTATGTAAGGATTATTTGCAATAAAAATTATAATATTTTAATTTGATAATAATGTGATTCTACACTGTATTTAATTCAAAAAATATGTTAAAATAAAAATAAAAATAATAATAATTTCATATAATAATAATAATTATTATTAGTACCTATACTGTATTTAATTCAAAAAATATTTTAAATAACAGACAGGACTCTAAATTTTAATTTTAATGAGAGTTCGCGGAACCCTGAACTCAGAGTGATCTCCGAGGTACCCAGCTTGAGAAACAATGCTATAGAGTATAGAATAATATAGACTCTATATTATAGAGTTAGAGTATAGACACAATTATTTACGAATTAAAATTTAAACGCATAAATAGCAATTAAAATGTTTAAAAACTAAAATAATTACTACAGATGACGGAGCACAGTGTTGCCGTTTGTCCTTTCAAAGTCGTCCAAAACGGTTTGCCAAAATGAAATTATATTGTTCCAAGTCCATAGTAGATAATAATGAAAAATGTGGTTAACCTTGGTGTGACTCACAGTGCAAGATTGAACCGTGGTGTGACTAATTCGTGACGTTGACAAACATGCGGTGTCGGCTGATAATAGGTTGATAACGTAAAACATTTCCGTATGCAGTATGCACCGACTATAGCACCGTCCGGACTCCGCTAGTCCGGAGATAGTGGCACAACCCAGTTCGAAAAATATTGTTTGCGCAATTTTCTCACCGAAATTACCAATTTGAAGTTAGAACGGTTTACCAATTACCGCATTTATCTCGTCACCCGGTAGTTTATTTAGCAATCGGTTTTATTGCCGTCCGTATAACGATCTAGTTAAATTCAATTGTAATTCGTAAATCAAAAGCGTACGATGTCAATTTGCAATTGACTTGAACTATAATACTTACCTGTTATAATATAATATTATTTTATGCGCAGTATTCTATTTGTTCCGTAAGTATTCATTTTACTGTTATTTTAGTACCTACTTGATGGTATAATAACTGTATTATGTTCTCAGTGGTACCTAGGTACTTTAAATTATTTCAATTTAATGTTAAAATTAATGCAATAGTGCCATATTTTCAGTAAGTTTCTATTATTATTTATAATATATAAAAACAATATGGGTACATTTTTCTTTGGATAACTTGATTTTACAAGTTTAAACTTAAATTTATGTTAAGTATATTTTAAGGATATTCATTTGTCATTATAATTATGGTCTTTTTTAGATTCACTTTAAGATTTGAAGGGGAATGTAATTTTTTTTTAAATTTTTTTTTATAATTGTTATGCCTTATCTTGATTTTGAAAAATACTTTGTAGATTTATTAAAAGCTTAGAATAGTTATAGCCAAGGTTAAAGCTTATTTAGTTAAATTCATAAATTTTAAGTATTTTTCAATAAGTATTTATACTTTATAGAGATGTTGTAAACAACAGATTTATATATTATGTTATAGGAAAAGATATTATTTTAATTCATTTTTTATTTTATAAATCATTAATTTATTAGTAAATTATACTTTAAATAAAATAGGTAGGTAGGCTGTAAATATTATTTTTAAGAACTAAATTGTTTATAATTTAACTTATTAAGTTTTGAAATTATTAAAATATGATGAAATAAATTTGTTGTATTACAATTAGTTCCAATAGTTCCTAAAAATGTATTATTAAATAATTTCTTAACACCTATTATTGAAATAGTGAGAAATATGAACAATTTAAAATATTTAATTTATTTAGTTTTAATTTAACACAACACTGCCTGATAAAATATATGTACCTATTTTTTTATAGGTATTTTTTGATATTTTGGTATTAGGTGTTCATTTCTGTAGAATTAATTATTTTTAAATTAAATTAATATTTTTGTACCATTGACTTATAAATTATTTCTATTATTATTTTGAACATATAGTTAACACACAAACATGTCTAAGAAAAGAACACGTGACGTGACTAATAATACAACAGAAGTGGAGATGCATGTCAGCAATAAAAATGTATTACAAAAATGTGAACAACCTAAGTTACACAATGTTGCTCCAGTATGTATAATATTTAATATAATTTACCAAAAAAATTACCATTTTCAGTGTTGGATACTAATTTATAGATATTTAAGCTCGTATAAATATAGCAACAAAATATTAGCTTTAAATATACAAACAAGTACGCATCTAATGTTACAATAATTTAATTGGTAATTTCAAAATGTGTCAGTGTATATTTATGGTTGTACAGTTTTAGCCCATCAATTAAATTCTGTGAATCCTTAAGTTTCTACTGGTGGTCTGGATGTGTTAATGTTCAATTTTTGATATTTGTTATTTTTTAAATATGTAACCATAAAATAAATAAGTATTTTATTTCAAATGCTATGCTTTTTTTAACAAAATTGCATGTGGACTATTGTTCCGGCAGCTAACTATGATAAAAAAAAGTAAATAGAAACCTTACTGTTAAGCTATTAAAGTTATTAAACTGGCATACCTGCTATAATTTGTCACATTAATGAGACGTATATTATGAAGTGGACTCTGCCACTATGAACTGAACTATGTTTGTATGGTGGGATTGAATATAGGTTGATTACATTTGAACTGCATGGCCATGATAAGTTTTTTTGAAATAATTGTTTCGGTATTCTTACTATTATAGTTGTAATCTATACAATTTTAAATAATATAAAATATATAGAATTTTAAAAACCTTACATCAGTTCTACAATTAAGATTTTTCAATGACAAAGAAGTTATATCTATGGTTATTATTGAAGCTACCAACTTCTTATTATTTACCTTGAAAAAGTTAAAATAAAAACCTTCACAGTTTATATAAAGAATAATATTTTTAAGTTTAAGTTAAATAGTTTTGTAAAATGTGTGGTTTAAAGAAACTAGTTTTACTTATTTATGTTCTAAAATAATGGTGTATTTATGGGAGGATATAAAATATATTAAAAACCTATGTAATAATACAGAATTATAGAATTAGTAAGACTTTGGTCAATATTGTTCTGATATCAAAATTATTTGATAATACAGTTTTATCTTCATTAAAAAAAAATCTCTTATACTTATTAATTGTATAAAATGTACATAATTATTATTTAAATTTATTTTATAAAACATCTCCATTAGATAATTAGTCTATTATAAAATTTTGAATGTCTTCAGTAAATCACTCTTATAAACATGTCATTTTTATCTGAATAACCTTTAGTCAGATTTGAGAAATCATAATGATACTAATATTGGTATTACTAACGTAGCAATTACAAATTGTAAAATATTTTTATGTTAGTTTATTCAATATATTTTATATGATGTTTGGATTAGGTATGCATTTTATAGATCTATTTTCAACTAAAATAGCAAACATCATTATTTATTTGTCCTTGAGATGAAGTGGATGATGTATATGCTTAATTAAATGTTTATATAACATTTACATATATATGTAATTTCTGTTTTTACTGTGAAACCTTGTAATGATTTATATGTTTTTCGACAATCTAGAAAAAAATGAGTTTGAGAAAAATCAGATGTTTAACAAAGTTATTACGTCCGGTTATGACTGATAAAAAAAATATGTTGTAGGAGGGTTTTTCTGTTATTATTAATTATTGCAATAATAATGGCTTTTATCATATTATTTCTCAGTTTAAACGGTTACAATTTATTTTATTATACAGACAAAGCAAGCTATGCCTCGAAACAATGGGTACATTAAATAGTACGCGTGAGAAAAAAAATAAAATCAATTACTATGTTTATATGATGGCGTTGAAACGCTCGCTCTATGTAGTTTAAGAATTTAAAACCGTTTTATTTGCTTAAACCGGTTTATCAGATGTACATATAAACGTTTCAGCAAATAAAACGGTTTTAAATTTTTAAACTACTTAGCACGAGCGTTTTAACTTTCAAAACGGTTTAGTCTTAAACCGTTTTAACGCCATCATATAAATGTAGTAATTATAAGTTATAACAGTATAATAAACATAAGAGAGATGCTAAAAATCAAATGAGTATTTTGAGCCAAAATAATAATAAAAATGTAGATTAATTTTGATATCATTTTAAAATTTCACCAAAAGTATACTCTTACAGAATACATATTTAATATTATATATTTTAATTAAAGTTGCATTGAATACCACCATCCTATAATTTTCTTTGTCTATATTGCATAATATTAATAAATAATTAAAAAATATTATACAGCACCATTTTGGTATGGTTAAATTAAATTGATACCTTGGATAAGAGGTAGAATAAAAATGAAATTTGTCAAAGCTACAAAACATGTAAAAGCATATTTTTTTAAGAGTCAATAGAATATTACTTCAATTATACAACTGAATATAGTAAACTGTGTAATTTATAGACTAAATAGTAAATACTAAAATACCACTTTAAGTAATTAATTAAATATTAACAGCTTTCTACAATCTTTTGATTTTAGTCAATTTTCAAACCTGCACCTTTTAGTACAGATAAAGATGCAGTTGAAGAACGGAATGCTTGTGATTATAGTACAAAAATCACTATGGATATGGCCAATTCTGGCTTAGGTATGAACTATATTATAAAAATATGTATATATATTATATCATTATATTAGTTCTATATGATGTCAACTGGTAAAATGTCTATGATCACATTTTTATAGTGAAAACTGGAGGTCTATAATTTTTGGGTAAAGGAATGTTCTGAAAGTTTTATTTTGTCCCTCATAAATGTGAATTATCATCAGAAATCAAATAAAAAAACCCATATTTAAGTTATTAATCAGTTATCTCTCACCTATGATCTATACCACTTATTCTACATTCTTATATATATCCCTTTTTACTACCTCTGTTAATGGTAACTTATATGCGTATAGTGTACAATTTATTTTCTATTCTTCATACTGGGTGCTAATTGTTTCTTCAAATAAAATAAATAAACTTATAATGGCCTTTAAAGCACATCATAAAATTAATATTTAGGCAGTGGCGTCCCCAGGGGGGGGGGCTAAAGCCCCCCCCCCCCATTACCCGTATTATGATTACTTTTTCAAAAAAATATTAATCAAGTTAAACTGCCAACTATAGTAAGCAAGACGTAAATTTCAAATATGTCTTTCCAGAATGAATTCATTTTTGAAAAAACATGGTATTTGTAACATACCAATTTTCATAAATTATCTGTAATTTTTCGGTAAAAGTATGAACTATTTGTATGAAAGACCTTGTATTAAATTGTCTAGCCTTAGCTAACACATTTAATATTTTATAAGTTTTGAACTAAAAATTAACTGTGGTTTTGACAAAATTTGAACTTTAAATGCTTATAAAAAATAAGCATGATGCCTATGTATCGTTAATATTTTAGCTATCATAAAAAAAACTTACGTATTACAATTTTAAGCTTTTTGACCGGATAAATAATTTTTTATTGACATTTATAGAAAAAAAAATGTAATTATTCAAATACAATCCAAGTGAAGACTTTATAACCAAACATTTAAATAAATTTTCATTTTTTTTTTCTCAAATTATTTTTAAAAGCACTGAGCATTTTCAATTTCAACCTCCTAATAGTACCAACTAGATTCAATTTGCTTCCAACAACATACACTGAGCATCGAAGCTTATGATCGGAGCATTTTTTCTACCAGAAAAGTTGAAAAGTTACAAACATTTTAAAATACCTCAAATAAACGTCTGAAATTATTAGACTGGACAAAATGAAAAGAAAATTGTAACTAATTTTCAAGCCCCCCCCCCCATTGAAAAATCCTGGAGACGCCTCTGTATTTAGGTTTTCTAAAATTATATAATATTTTATGTACTTTTATATAGCAATTAATATCATCACTATCTTTGATAAAAACCATATTATACTAGTGATTTGTATGTGTTTGTTTGTGCAGGTACATATTCTAAATGTTGTGTTTTGTCTTGGTTTTTTTTACTGTATACGGTTATTGAATTATCATTTGTCTCCATTATCTATATAATCTGATTAATTTATTGAAAAGTTACAGTTAGAAATATGTTTAACCTAATAAATACTCCTATTAACTTAAATAAGAGCTTCTGTGTCCATAAAGATTAACCAAATTATTTGAATTGTGACCGGGTAAAAAACTATGGGAGGTCAAGATAATGTATTTACCAAAATCAAAACCCTAACACAATTATTTGTCTTTACACTAGTCTTAAAGCTCATTTTATGGCTTAAAAAAAAATTGTAGGCACTAGGTATACATATCAAAATACATTAGGTAATAAGTAGAAAATATACAACAGTTTAAAAAGAAATGAAGTATGACATATGTGAAAATAATATGACGATAATCTTGTAATCATAATTCATGAAATAATATTATTGGGTTATTTTTGTAACCAAGATAATAAGATAATGTTGGCAATACATCAACATATTATACTAGAGGAGGAACATGAAATAAATGTACTTATATTCAATAATTGAATCCCTTACTACTCGATGCTTGTTTTTGATGCCACATTCACTCGTTTGGGGTGAAAAGTTGCATTTGTCAGTCTGCATTGTTTATTTATATTAAAATATATGGGAAAAAAATAAATACATAAAATATACACTCGTATGTTTTTATAAAGAATTAAAAGGTATAGGCACAATACTATTAAAGTTAGTTTTATATGTATATTTCAATTTGGTGTGAATATCTAACCCAAGAAAATGGTGATAGATTAAGGAAAAAAATATTTTTATTTTATGTATGTATATTAAATGTATTCCATTCTTTCTTTATTTTAGAAGATTAAAGATGTCTACTATGGCATATCTGGGTGGGAGTAATACCCTTGTCGCTTCCAAATATTTCAGGGGGAAAGTGCTTCCCTCCACAATTAAGCCACTGAGTGTGACCATGTGGAACCCTATAAGGCAAACTAACATTTCATATTAATAAATACAAATTCTATCCAAAATTACAATTATATACTTACTAAACAAATAAAAATGAATAGAGTTATGATTATCTATCTCTGAAATTTAATTTTCATTTTAGACAATGCTTGTTATTTGCAGCTCCTCGAAGAATTAGAGTATATGCAGATGGTGTTTATGATATGTTCCATCAAGGACATGCTAGGCAGTTAATGCAAGCGAAAACTGTATTCCAAAATGTTTACTTGATTGTTGGAGGTTAGTTGATATAACTTGTCTTAATTAGTTAAAATAATTTAGTGTTGTAAATAAATTATAGATAATTTATAGTCATAAATGTATTTGTTGGGTATAAATTTTAGTATGCAGTGACAGTGTCACACATACTTTTAAAGGTAAGACTGTAATGACGGATGAAGAAAGGTATGAAGCTGTTAGACATTGCCGTTATATAGATGAAGTTCTTAAAGATGCACCATGGGAAACCGATGATCAATTTTTAATAGATAATAAAGTAATTAAAAATAATACTATTTTATTTTGAATGATAAATGTGAGTTTCAAATTCTGTATAGATTGATTTTGTTGCTCATGATGATATACCTTACATTAATGAAGATGGTCAAGATATTTATGGAGGCCTTAAAGAAAAAGGTATGTTTGTAGGCACCCAAAGGACTGAAGGTGTATCAACGTCAGACGTTATTTCTCGAATAGTACGGGATTATGATATGTATGTTAGACGTAATCTTCAACGTGGGTACAGTGCCAAAGATTTAAATGTATCTTATTTAAAGGTTAGATTTTTACATAAATTATCTTAAAAATATAAGAACTCAAAGATAATAAAAATTATTATTTTAGGAAAAAAAATTAAAACTCCAAAACAAAATGGAAGAACTTAAAGATCGCAGTAAACGAGTTATGGGAACTATTGGTGAAAAAAAGGTAGACATGTTGCAACGATGGGAAGAAAGATCAAGAGACTTTATTGTTTCATTCTTATTGTTGTTTGGCCGAGATGGACCAATTGTAAGTTAAAAGTTTAGTGTTAACTTGCCTGAATATAATCAAGGTTTTTCTTTTAGTCACATTTTTGGAAAGACAGTAAAGGTAAATTGTTACAAGCATTTTCGCCACCTGGCAGTCCAACTCCAAGTGGACGTAACACTCCAGATTCGTCTAGTTCATCGGAAGAAAACTTAAGGTAACTTAAATACTAAAATTGAATGAAATTAATGAAACATAATAAAAAATGATTTAGGTCTCCTCCTAGAAAATCTAGTAGAACTAAACGATATTTGGAAGACGATGATGATGAAGATGATGATGACGAAGATGAAGAAGAAGATGACTTGTTAAATAGATACAATTACATAAATGGTGAAAAAAGCTCCAACTCCTAGTTGAAAAAAATGTTTATAAATCACATTAAAAAAACCTATTAGTTTAATATATATAATTATAATGCACAAATGAATAATGATTATTGTTAGAATAAAATTAACAGTAAAAAAATGTTTGGTAATAATTATTTTATGAAACAATGTAAACATTTTATGCATATTTAGACTGTGTAAAACAAAAAATATTATAAATGTTTTTTTTTTAAGTTAAAAAATAGGCATTATACCTATAAATATTTTATATTATTCAAAATTGTTTTTTTTTATATGTATATTATTAAAAACACATGAATCTACTCGACATAGCAGTATATTTTTAGTATGGGTTTTATGTTTTATACGACTTTAATATTGCAGTTATTGAGTTAACTTTATATTGTTTATTTATAATGTTCATTTTGATCTGAAATTTGTATAGTTATTAGTTCATAAGTTGAATTAAACAAATATATGTTTGTTTTGTTTTCAATGACGAATATAAATTATTGAATTGTATATATTTTTGATTACTGCAATTAGGAAGTATTTTAGGAAAGTGAAATTTTTAATTATGTAGTTACCTATGTATTTTTATATATTTTTTTTTGAAATTAATAAGGTAGGTAAGTCCTATAACCTTTTCTAAAAAATAAAATGTGTTCCTATCAACCTCCAGTTGATCTGAATAAGGAAAATTGAGAAAAACCTATGTTCCGGTTCACCCCATCAACGTGGAAATAGGAACACGTTTTTTAAAAAAAATATAAAAAAACTAACTGACCTAAATTAAAATTTTCACATTAAAATAACGAGTCTGTGCGTAGTTTATCTAAAAGACTTTTCAGAAAAACTCGTATCTAAAAAATTGGAGTTTTTATAACCAAATATCCTCTAAAATTGTTTCTATTCGTCCCATTTTACGATATATGTATAACATTTTTAAATATCTGCGTAAAGTTTATCTTATTTGAAGATGATGTTGATGAACAGAGAAAGGATTATTCTATTTTCAAGTAGTGCTCAAAGAGAAGCCACATTTACTCGTAGACATTTATTTTTTGACGAATCTTTTAAAAATTGTAACAAACTGCAGTTCACAGAAATGTACTCAATACATCTAGATATTGGAAGCACATCGAGTGAAGTGAAACTAATGTCATTCTAGCAATATTTGTATTACTTCCAAACAAAACAAAAATAATTTATACTCGATTTCCTTGATATATTCCGAATTTCAACCTCGATATTTAATTAAACTATTAGTTTTATTGAAATGTCAGTACGTCAGTACCTTAAGACCAGTACTAATACATCATTGGGAATAAAAAAAATATAAGTGACCGCGAGTGCCACCAAAAAAGGGTTTACCGAAACTGTGCCGGAATCCTTGGGAGTCTATGCGCCCAAGTTTAAGGCTTTTTTCGTATTCGTTAATAACTAGGTTATTTAACTAGGCTGTCGCTGCGGATGAAGGCTGTAAACCAGCGTTAAGAGTGCACACTAGTGACCAAAATGGCATAAAAACATGGTTTCGTAATTCAAGTAAGACGGCTTATTGAAGCGGTTTACAGTAAAAATACCTACTATAAAAACTGTAGAGGAGAATTTTCTTAACAATCGTAAGAAGGCCGACTTTCGATATTTTTATTAATAATTAGTTGAATAATTAATCGGGAGTGAGACCATAAAGTCTTGTCTTCAGACTTCAATAGAGGTTTTTGGTATTGGATCTAGTTCGTACTTTTAGGAGGTTGAAATGGAAAATTCTAGGTATTTTTGAAAACTATCAGGAAAAACTAAAATAAATGAAAATGTATTAAAATTGTTTGGTAACCCTGAGTATAGACTGTCTTCACTTAGATTGTATATTTTGATTAATTTTAGTTTTTTTTCTAAAAATATCAATAAATAACTATTTGTTCGGTCAAAAGGCTTAAAAATTGAATACAAGGTTCATCAAAAGTTTTTATTTAAAAATATTAACGATACCTACATAAGTATATAGAAGCCAAGATTTTTTTTATAAGCATTTATAGTTCAAATTTTGACGAAACCACAATAATTAGTTTGTAGCTCAAAATGTATAAAATATTAAATTTGTACATATAGCTACCTAACAGATACTGTAAGTCTGTAAAGACTGACAAGGCCTTTGTCTCATATATCAATTACAATAAGCACAATGGAGGGATAATGCATTATAGGTCATTGGTCATGGTTGGCTTGATGAAGAAGCTATTCATTAATAGCACTTCATGACGGGATGGTGGACTAGTCAACTAGCCAGCTACTCTTTAAACGTCGGCCAGGATCGCCCGGGATTGTTTGAGAAGAGAGGGTTCCAGTGATTTGAAAGTTTAAGGTGGAAACGTTTATATAGGGTTTTGGCGACGTTTTTTACAGTCGGAATGAGAAGGTCCTTGTGGAGGGTATCATTTGATACATAAAATGGAGCTTTAGTTATCTGCCTGAGGCATTTAGATTGAAATGTTTGGATTCGGTTTATATTGGAGTCTTTGGCTGATCCCCAGAGTTGAATTCCATAGGACCAGATAGGTTTGAGGAGTACTTTATACATAAGGATTTTATTGTGTAGTGAGAGATGTTTGGATGGCAGGAGGAGGCGAAGTTGTCTTTGACGATTATTTAGTACAAGTCGTTTGTTACGTACCTATGTGGGTAGCCCACGTGAGGCGGTGATCTAGGTATAAACCAAGGTAACGGACATTTTGAGAGGTCGGGAGAGGTTGGTTGTTAAGTGTGATAGAGGGGCAGCTTATTGGTCTGAGAGTGAATGTGCAGTGGATGGATTTGGATTCATTGAGTTTGAACCTCCATTCTTTGTACCATGTCAAGAGGATGTCGAGGTGGGTTTGGATTCTGCTGGATGCCTCAGGGCTCAGATATTAAAATTGAAAACATTTTTACTACTTGCATAACAAAATAAACGATGCTGAATATTGCCTATTTGATTGAAAATTATGTTATTAGTGAATCTAACCACTTTAAAAATAACTCGTCCAAACGCAAACCGTCCCATCGTCATGTAACCTGCAAGTATGTTACGGAAAAAGTATACAATTTCCGCATAGGCGCAATTTTAGGGGTGCAAGACCTTGTCATTTTCATAATTATAATAATATCAGAACAATAATATATAGATCATAATGTATTGTGTTAGATAATTGTTTATATTAAGATTAATGCCAAGGTGTATAAAATTAAGGTGTAGGTATCTTAGATAAAGCTCTCCGCTGATCACTTTATTCGACATAAATCTAGCACCCCCATAAATTTAACCCAAATTGCGCCCGTGACAATGCCTTTCGTACTATAGATATTGGGCAATATAGACAATAGACGGTATTTGATCGTAAAGCATACCTAGTCAAAATAAAGTGAAATTTTCAAAGAAAGATTTCTGGAAGTCGATGAATTGTCACAATCCAAAATTTTCCACCTAGAGACAAAACGGAATTGTACACCACTTTTCCATTTACCGTAAAAAATATATATTAAGGGCCCCCCCCCCCGGTGCCAGTTTTTCAAATTTTCCGAAATTCAATAACATTTTATCAATGGTCCGGAGCCGCCGTCGTAAACGTAATCCATGTTCGATCATGTTTCGCCGATACAGTTGAGCACGACGTATGTGCTCGCGGACGAACCGCCATTAATTAGGTAGGTACTATTTGTAAATTGTGTCTTGCGATTATTTTACGCTTAGGCGACGTTCTGTAATAATAAAACCTGGTGATACCTTGAATTGCGTTATTTATAATATCATTAATTCAATCCCGATAACCACCCAGTTTTTTATTCCTTTCAACCCGATACCTATTTAAGGGGGGGGGGGGGGTTGATAGGGTGTATTAGGTATATCGAAAAAATAACTTCACAGGAATAACTCTCAGGCTTTGTGGAATTGTCGGATTTCGATGACTATTTTTTTTATCTGAAAGAAGACGACTTCCTACAGCCAGCATCAATCCCTGATTTTGTATTTTATTTCAAATAATATTGTAGGTATTAAACAATTTGTAAAAAAATGCTATTTATCTTTAAGTAAAAGTCTTATTATAAAGTTTGAGAATAAAATATTGAAAAACAGAGATCGATGCGGGATGTAAAATATTTCCCTCAAACAATTTAAAAAAAAAATTATGAAATTTGGTTGATTCTACAAGGCGATATCGTAATTTCTGCAAAGTGTATTTTCGAGAACATAATATACTATAGCACCATAGCACTATAGCACCACTACAGAATAAACGATATAATGATTAATATATTATATTTAACAATGAAAAGGTCGCGACCGATAACGAAGACTAACGAACGATACACGTCAGCAAGGGTAAAAGGTCGATACCAGACAGAATTTGAACTTCAAAAGCTCATAAACTAAATGTGACTCCGGCAAACTTTTTATAAGGAATTTTGTATTCATTTTTTAAATATTAGATATATTAAGAAACATTGATATTTGATATCAATATCTAACACAAAATAATTTACAAAATTTCGTGATTTTATTATAACTCTAACTTCAGACGCTCATAAAAAATTAGTTTTAGTTATTTTTATACATTTTTGATTTTTACAGAAAAAAAATATTACATAATAATATGCAGTGGCGTAGCCAGGGGGGGGTTTTGGGTGTTTAAACACCCCCCATTGACATTTTCCTCCCTAATAAAAATATTGTTTATAGGGTTTGGGACTGCTCGCATTATTTTAGATAAGTTATAAATTTGTCTTATGAAATATTTTAAATGTCTAATCAAACAAAGTTTGAATTTGCATATTTTAGGAAAAGTGTACATTTGAGAGATTTTTCGCATATTTATGCATATTTTGCATTTTTCTAACTTAAATGTAGGTACATACAAGTGTCGGGAAAAATCATATTTGGATAACATTGAAAAATATTTTTAAAAATATTATGTTTGGTTAGGTACAAATATAGGCTCTAATTTTGAGATTTGGGGAGGCCGAAGCCTAAAACCATACTATTATAAAATTGAATTAAAAAAATTTAGTAAATGATTGGGAGGGCTGTTAAAGTTGTTGGTGGAGCTTGGCTATACGGTTTGCCATATTTTCGCATAGTTATGGTATGTAAGATTTTATAAGTCTCTTTGTGACAAGACTGTGTTAAAACTATAATTGACATCTACATTCCAGATTGTACGAAAAAATGAAAATCAGTAGAACGTGTTCGTTTATCAAGGTGTTCTCATATCACGTTATTCTTTATTACATATTTATTAACCTAGTATTTTATTCCAGTACTTTTAAAAATCAAGTTGTTTTATTTCACAATAGTTTAAAAATGTCCAAAACATGCAATAGTGTTCCGTCCATCACATTAATCAATATAGGTACACCTACCTATATTAAAATTAGTAAGCCCGTGTATGAATTATTTATATACCTACTTATTTTTTAGTTTTTTTACCAAAATTGTAGTATGTTTTATGAATTTTTCAAAAATAATATAAAAATGTAGCTGTATATGTTTAAGAATATTTTGACAACTTTGACTGCATCATATTTCGATAATATTTAGTGCAACAAGTCAAGTCCCGAACCCTAAATTTGTTAAATATACGAAAACTGTAAAAACTTGGTTTTAATTTATACTTAACACCCCCCATTTCATAATCCTGGCTACGCCACTGATAATATGCACATCAACTTTTAATATTTCTTCATACCTCCTTTAAGTTGCATTTGTCTTGTAGGTGTTAAAAATTTAACTGATTTAAGATTTGAAATTAATAATACAATCTAACAATAACACAACACTGTGAATTAATGCTCATCTGTTTTAAAATTACTCTTATAACAACTTATACTGATTTTACTTAAAAAATTCTCATTTTCCCATAATTTTTTATCTATCCAAATAATTTTAAAAGTCGGCACCTACTGGGAATTTTCGATTTTGACCGCTCAAAAGTACCAACTAGATCCAATTTACTATCAGAAACCACTGTGCAAGTTTAAAATCAAATGATTCACTAAGAATTTAAAATTATTTTATTTTCATGGGCATAAACAAAATGTATGGGTTAGCCCCTCTATAGCAAGTATCAACAACCTATAAGCTAGAGGAGTTACACTTGGTATAAAAAAAAGGTTAGATTAGGTTATACGAGTCTCAAGGAATGTGTGCAAAATTTGGTGCCAATAATTGGTTCAATAGTTTCCAAGACTCTACAAGTGTACATTAATTTATATATACCGTGTGTCCCAAAAATCAGGGGCCACTTTACTACTCATTACCATGTAAATATTTTTCAATTATGTTTGCGGGACATTAAACTAGACTAATGTATCGTAAATTTCTTTGACTCACAATGTTTTAAACTCATGTATCTTGCGCATGCGCAATAAAACTTACATTTTTTTAAATGGCAACCCGTAATTTTAATATCATATTCGGGTTCATCGATTTTTTTCAAGCCATTTTGATGTATCAACTTATGTCCTAAACCCAAAATTGACTAAACTAGAGCTAAGTAGAATTTAAATAATTTAAAAATTCAATTTAATTAATTTTTTTTTCTTACTGTACCTACTTATTTTTTTCTTCTAAGCACGGTGAAACAAACAATCAAAATTATTATTATTAAACTAATTAACTATTTACTATTTTTTGAGGGTAAGATTTGGCGAAAAATTTATTGCAACACATGGACCAGTAGAGTGGCCCCCAAGGTCACCAGAACTAACACCGTTAGATTTTTTTTTGTGGGGACACTTGAAAAATGTTGTGTATGCTGATCCTCCAATCAACATCCAAGATTTAAAGAATAAAATTACACACGCATGTTACCTCCTAAACGAAAACCAAATACTGGCAGCAACTAATCGTGAATGTTTACGTCGATTTGAGGCATGTACTTTACACGATAGAGGGACTTTCGAACAGTTTATTGAATAGTTTGTCTGTAATTTCTGTAAATTAAATTGTAAATAAAAATGTATAGTAATGGTAAAAAAAATAAATAAAATAAAATAGAAATGTTGTTTCTTGAAAATACATGTTTAAAATATGTTATTTTATAATGCGTAATAATAAAATAAGATAATAATTCATAAATAGTAAATAGTTAGGTAATTAGTTTAATAATAATAATTTTGATTGTTTGTTTGTTTGTTTCATGGTGTTAAAAAGAAAAAAATTACAAAAAAATTTACAGTTAGAAAAAAAAATTAATTAAATTGAATTTTTAAATTATTTAAATTCTACTTAGCTCTAGTTTAGTCAATTTTGGGTTTAGGACATAAGTTGATACATCAAAATGGCTTGAAAAAAATCGATGAACCCGAATATGATATTAAAATTACGGGTTGCCATTTAAAAAAATGTAAGTTTTATTGCACATGCGCAAGATACATGAGTTAAAAACATTGTGAGTCAAAGAAATTTACGATCCATTAGTTTAGTTTAATGTCCCGCAAACAGAATTGAAAAATATTTACATGGTAATGAGTAGTAAAGTGGCCCCTGATTTTTGGGACACACGGTATAATAAATATAGAAAATATAATGACATCGCATAATATTGTCCTCATGAAAATAAGATTAAAAATCTATAATTGTATATATTTTGCATCATACATATTACATATCCATAATTCAGTTTGAAATAATAACATTTTTATATTTATTATTTTCATCAAGATTCCAATACATATTAAATACTATATAGTATATAATATATAAAAGAAATTGTATTTAACCATTTACACATTTTTTATCCATACACAAATTTTGTAGATTAGTTAATTAGTATATTACACTATATGCATGTTAACTAGAATCAATAAACATACATGTCAATGTCACTACTCACTATCCTTTTCCTTTCACACTACCGTCTACCATCGCAATTGTCCATAGTTGGAAATTCACAGATGTAATAGAAACGATACCACAGTATAACAATAGTTAAGTGAAACTATATACTGTTTGCAGTATGCCAGTATATGTGTACCTTGATTGGATTTGACAAATGTGTGCAACATGAATAACTGCTCCACTTCGGCACTAAATTTTTATCACCTTGTAATAAATTAGGGTTTGACATTGACCGTTTTTCTTAGTTAAATGAAACATTTATACAACATTACAAGCAGGTGTTTGGTTCAAAAACCAAACTGTAAGATTATTAATGTTTGCTACCCATACATTTGTTGTCTCCTTCTTACACACGTACGACATAGCAAAATTCCGTTCACTTGTGTCAATAGCGTGGTGTTAATTTTGATATTAGAGTGAATTCATCTATTATACAATTTTTAGATAATAACATTATCTGTGCTTAAACGTTGGCTTTTATTCAATATTTTAATTTTCACGCGAGATATGAGCATTTTTAATTTTTGATACTTCACATACGTATCCCGTATCTTGCTTGAAAATTAAAAAATTGCCAAAGCTTAAGCACAGCTAATGTTCTTACCTGAAAGTTTGATTCAATTCAATTCACTCTAATATCAAAACTAACAGCATACTATTGAAACTAGGGAACAGAAATTTGGTATGCCATGTGTATTGTTAAGAACCCTTGAATACTGTTAGTTATATTATTCCATAGTTCTTGTAGTATAAATGTAAATTTCTGTTTAATCATATTGTAAACTGATACGTGTGTGACACAGGTGAGTAGGACTCCCTTCTCCATACGACTGGTCTAAAGAATCTGCTGAATAAACCCTTTTTGAACGGACAACCAGCTCGTATGCGGGGCTCGCACACGTAGCAGGTAGTCAGTGTTGGTGTGACAACAGACCATTACAGACCATTTCAGAGCATTTCATATAATTAAATGTTATTACAATTAAATAAAGAATATTATTTTCAGCCAAAGTAATTTAAACTCGTTTTATTTTATTTGTGTGGAATTGCCAAGTGCGCGTCCATAGCAGTATGTAAGACGGGGATAATAAAAGGAAGGGTAGCGTCCTCTTAATATACAATTTAATTTTTACTATAATAATATGTACAAAATCAATACAATAATTTATTTTCTTTTTATTAAATAATTGAGTATTTTACAAAATTGATAAATACACTTTGATAAAACAAAACGTTTCAATAATTTAATATAGTTATATTTTTTTCAGAAACCAGTTAAATAAATGTCTAAACTAGAGATTCTCAATCTGTTTGAAGTGATCATCCCTAAACTAAGTATTTATTTATACTATAAGCTACTTTATGTGTCGGCGACCCTAAATAATATGCTGGCCCCCGATTGAGAATTGCTGGTCTAAACTGTATGCTCAACTGTAACTTTAAATACAATTGTAGCTAAAAATTGTAATATATTTTGATTTAACATGAATTATTATAATTTAAATGTATAAAAATATGAGAAATATTTTTGTAAGAAGTAATTTAAAAAACAAATTACAACTTGGATTTTGTGTGTCCAGCAGGCATAAATGAGTTTGGCAATTGATATAGTTGATGCTTCTTTTTAAAGTCTGTTATATCCTTAATCAAAATGGTCTGTAAGATGAAAATTAATATTAACTTTACAATATTTACATTGGTCATTCATTACACATTATATCATAATAGTAACACATACATTGTTGGCCATCAAACTATTATCCACTTCTTCCGCAGTTGTATTCTTCAATGTAGATCTGACATGTACTGCTAACTTATGTCTTTCTGGCCCAGACTGGCTGATTTGATCCTATACAAATTATCACTTAGTTATCAGACTATAAGAATTGCAAAATAACTTACATTATAAAATTTAATAATATCATCTTTGGAGATTAATTTTAATGCTTCTACTTCGATTTGAGCTCTGTTGAAATTGTAGTCTTGTGTGTCAATTTCCACCTGATAGACAGCTGCTTGTTTCATCAAGCCCTTTGGCTTCTCTAACAATTTAACAGCTAAAGCATCTTTGTATTTGTTAAATTCTTCTTCAGGCATATTCATTAATAATTTCTAGAAAAAACAATCGATTAATAAGAATATTAAAATGAAGCTACTCAAATTAACTAACCTCAATAGTGTTTATATAGTTTTCTATTCTCGAGTCAACATACATTGGGGTACGGTCAGATTGTACAATAATACGCAAATTCAGTATTCCATGACTTCTGCTTGATGAACTAAACACTATGTAGCCAAGTTGTTCCTAGTACAAAAAGTTAATTTTAATAGTTTCATTCTATTTAAACATAAATAATTTATTATACCTGTGTACGTAGGGTGTTAAAACACGACTCTTTGATAATTTCGTTAAATAGGCTAACTATCATATTTTTTATTGTAGACTGAAGACCACATTGTAAATGTATATAAACACATGAACTGCTGTGATGATCACTTGTTGTTTCAAATAATGCGCTTTCACCTTAAATATAATGCTTAAATTGAATGTCAAACTGAATGGAGTATAAATTAAAGTGTAAAAGTATATTATTTGGTATAGTACCATATATAGTACATATATATATAATTAAAAGTAAGGTGATTGAATACTTTTGGTATTTAACCTACTACTAACTATTGATTATAAATTCTATAGAAATTAAGATAATCCCAATGCAATAGGTATATAATTATATATATACACATATATCTGTAATATCTTTGTAATAGATTTAATGTTTAATGTAAAATAAGAAACAAAAAGTATACAAATTTGTAATTACAGTAAAACCTCGTTAAGACGCTCTCGAGGGGGAAATCGTAAAACCATGTATTATGAAGGATGGTGTAATATCCTTGAAGCGTGTTTTACAGGATCTCGTTGATATGCTTTTAAAATATTATTTTAAATAAATTAGTAAATAGTTCGTGGCGTTACAATTTATTTATTACATAATAAAACAAACACATAGCGCATACAAGTACATACATATTAATACAAAAACATGACAAATTCAGCGCTCAAACACGACTAGTTGTACAAGTACGAACATCACATAAACTATGTCACAATGTTGTACTAATGTAATAAAATATCAAAATACCGTTCATTATCTTTATCAATCAATAACATTAAATTGGTTTACGAGTGCCCTGTGCCAGAACTATATTATATGCATATTGTACATAAATGTTTGTGTAAAATTAAGATAAGATAAACGTTTCAACAAAATGTTTATCGGTGTATTAAGTTAATTTTTCTGTGTTAAAAGGCATGAGTAGTCAGAAAAGAGAGCGGGATCACGTATTAAGCGGGATAAGCTCCCGGTTAAAGCATGTTTTTTTTTTAATGTTTAAAGTCAAAGACCTACAGGTACTAGGGACCGGAAAAAATCCAAGTATTAACTGGGATGGCTTCATTAGTGGTAATTGGGGGAAAGGACTTGAGGAGGAAAGCACACCCTCCAAAGTCCGTCAGGCCCCTCCTTTTTTAGTTTTGTAGGATCGAAGCCCCCCCCCCTCCCCGCTCACATTGATGTTAATAATGTTAGCCCTCACTGAAATTTTAATGGATTTCCACCAATGGATAAACAGGAGCGTTTTAACGTGGTTTTACTCTACCAACAAAAAATAATAATCGTGTCGATTTTTAATAAAAAAAATAAGAAGATTAAAAAAAACTACATAGAATTAAAAACGAATAGATTATTATTTTGCTTGGACTTAAATAAAATCAAAATATTTAACTCACTATCTTCGAGTCGTACTTCTCTTGACCTAACCATTTGACGAGGTAGTAATTTACGGAATCCATCTCGACCCAAAAATGGTTTTTCTAGTATTTGTATAAGTTCTAATGCTTTCTAAAATGAAACCACATAATTCAGTAGGTAATATGTTAAACTAATAGTTATTATTATAATATACTTACAGGTTTATCTATGTTACCATATACTAATGATTCCATAAACATTTGAGAGAGGAACTTTTCAATAAATTCCTCAATGTTTTCAATCTTAACGTCTAAAAATATAAAAACATTATATCAAACAATTCAAATTAAGAATAATATCATTAATTACCATCGATGGCAGCTAATAATTCATTAGGAGTCCATGCATCCTCTGATAAAACCACAGAATTATACCTCATTGCACTATGATAAGGTTGTTCCATATCAATATTTTTCAAATCCCTAATTTTCTATAAACGAATTTAAATAATTAAAATTGTAAAGAAATTATTTTTAACTTTACGATGACTTACTTCTTCTTTAAGAATTTCAAAGCGTTGTGGATTAATCTTGAAAGTCAAAAGCTTATCAATAGTTTTCTTCAGTAAAATATGTAACTTGTGATTAAATCCACTCAATTGCATCTAAAAAAAATGATTTGAATTTATAACATAAACATTTTATTTGGAGTTTTAAATTGTATTTTACCTTGAAACCATAACTACTTGGTTGAATAACTAAATTTAGACTAGCCCTGGTTGCATCCCATGTATATTCAGAAAAATCTTCATTAAATAATCTCACAAAAAGACTCATAATATTGCAATGGAATGGATCGGTCATTACAATGTGGCTGTATAAAAATACATTTTAAAATAAGTTACAGATCATTTTCATTTAATAAAAACAATTAAAATTAATTGCAATAAGCTAAAGCTAATTTAGTTATAAATATTACAAATAAGATACAACATTGATTATAATAAAATTAGTACTAACAAGTAACAATGATTCTATAAGTTATCTTAGTATTAATATTTTATAAGCTAAAATATTAACCGTTTAGAAGAAATATTTAGTATATAAATCTGGGAATTGGCTTTTGTTGCATAGTAAGTTTTTTTCTTGTGTAGGTTACTGTAATAGTATAATGGAGGTGTACAATTTGAAAATACTGATTAAAAGAGACAGAGAAATTGTATTTCTAAAACTTTTCATACAAAAATACTCTAAGAACAGCTTATGAGGGGAACCTCATATTAAATTGTTTAATAATTTTAATAAAGAAAAATTGAATATTCTAAAATACTTTATAAATGTGCCTATGCCTGTGCCGTGAATATTTTCTAAGAAAAAAAAACCATTTTTAAAAACATATTATAATACATTAAAGGAAGTCCAAGCCTCTAAAAAAATATAACATTTTATGGAATTTTTTTTAAATTTATTAGATAAATTAGTAATATTTGAAAAATCAGTACTTAAAATAATAAAATGTTAGTTATTATTGTTTAAATAATTTATGTAGTTAAAAAAAAAAAATAATAAGCGATTTTTGTATTAATAGTTATAATAGTTATATACGATTAATTACCTGAAAAAATCAATTGAAACAAATGCTTTAGGGAATCTAAATTCTGTGTCCGTTTTAAACCAACATCTCAAAAGAAATGAATCATGAATAATATGTGGATGACCTGGTTCCTATAAAAGAAAAATATATTAACAAAATGGGAAAACTAAATGATAAATAATCTTATTACGTTTTTATCAATTGGCACTAAATTAAAATCTGTAGCAACAAATTCATTCTTTGATGGCATTTTTAAATCTTCGCATAAATCATCTTTTTTCCATTCCTAAACATTGAAAAAATTAATTATTAATACATTTATATTATTTATAATAAATGGTTTCTAAATATATATATATATATTACATTCAAAGTCTCTGTTGGTATTTTCCTTATTGAGTATGGTGTTCCATAATATTTGTCTACAGTATCTGTTTCGTTTTGAAATGTTTTGGAAACTACTGTAACTCTAGAATATTAATAAATTCAAATTTTTACACATATCAGAATACATTAATTATATTGTCACTCTATAAAACATTTCAAATAAAAATAGATAGGTGCTTAGTTTAAAACTTATTATTAACAATATTTTCTATTTAAGTTATTTTGGTTTCTATTTATTGGTCTAAAAAAGATAAAGCCAGGAAGCAATTATTTATTGTATGGGTACAACTGATTGAGGACCTCCATTTAAGTCCATTTACATATATCTTCATACAATGACTTAAATATCACAAACTCTTTGCAAAACTGGTATCTCTTATTTGAAATATACTTAGTTTATATCAAATTAATTATTAATACATACAATTAGAAAATGTAACATATTGTACATTATAGTAGTCTGTAGTTAAGTGTATCATGATTCATATTAAACGAATCTATAGTTCAGTGGCGAATGCTGACTCCGAAGTATGGTCATGATCATTTGTCATAATGTATTATAGGAATACACATTTATTTCAAGATAAAACATTAAAAAAATTTTTACTTTCAATTTGTTGATAAACTCTATTTTATTTATAATTAATTATTAATACACAAGTTAGTTTTTATTAATATTAGTATTTAATATTTAATATTTGTATTTAAAAGACTTTCAAAAAATTGTCATACTCTCTCGTATACTATACAATCGGACATAAATTATACAAATCATTGACAAAGCGCAACTGAATGACCATGCCCTGGCTCATGGGTGGGTTAGTACTCTTGCTGCTTGTGGAGCAGGTCTCGGAATAGCTAATATTCCACAGGCAGAGCGATAACAAATGTGTTATTATTGTGTTGTATAGTGGCACATACAGCTATCGCATTCTCTCAGTATAAGTTACGATAAAATCATAATTAACACAGATACGTACCGCAGAAATATATAAAATAATTGTCATACATTATGATTTCTTGTACGTAATAATATATTATTAATGATAAAATAATTTATGTATTTTTACTAACCATATTTTTATTCTTAAGCATACTTAGCATGTCCGGAGAATTCGCCACTGATATAGTTAAAGTCATATAATGTTATCCAGTGGCATATGCAGGGATAGGGTTCTAGGATTCTGAACCCCCTAAATTTTCTTTTTAGTGTAAAAAATCTTATTTATCACCAATTGTTGGTAATTTTAAATGGATACAAAATAAATTGTTAAATATATATCAAAGACGTCGATAATCATAGTTTCAGTTTTTATTTAGCTGATTTAGAACATTGCTAAACGTCTGCCATAATCGATGGTGTATCATCGTCCATCGATTATTACCATATTTGTTGCGGCCGAAGAGGCTCTATAGATGACCAGGTTAAACACTATAAATTTAGTCTAAATTTGAAACTAACTATAATTTGTTATATAAAAACTGTTAAGAAAAAAATAATGTAAATTATTTACTTAGGTATAACCCTAACCGAACTAAAATCCTGCGTACGCTACTAATGTTATCTTATAAAAAATCCAATAATTCTAGTATTATTCTGTTCATAGGTACCTCATATTATCTGGTCTGAAGTAAGATAAAAGTTCTACTATTAAATCTGGTTTCCATTCTCGAATTAAATATTCAGCTGTTAGGACATGTTCTAATTCAAAAGTCTAAACAAATAAATAAAGATCAAATAACAGATAGTATTATGCTTAAATAATAAAATGTACGACTTACAATCATATGAGAAGACAACCGATAAACATAATCTAAAGGTGAACCTTTATCTTTAAATTGAAATTGCATTGCACTAATATTACTGTTTTCATCATGGAACCATTCTTGGGGTCCTTCACGTCTTAACATATTCACATACTAAACCATCATAAAAAAAAGATTATAATTAATATGTATTACTCATTAAAAATGTTTACTTAAATAAGTATAATATTACTTGAAAAATTAATTTAACAATATCATCAACGTGATCAACTCCTTTTTCTGTTAAATCCACATCAATATCAAAAAGCTCAATTCCCCTAGCTTCAAATTTATTGCCAGCTGAAAGTTTACTTGACCATCCTCTTTTTTTTAAAACTGTTAAAATACTTGTAGGGCCTTCATGACCAAATAAAGCGCTCAAATACCTACTAGGCTAATTAATAAAATGTATATTAATTAACATTTACGATTAAATTGTGTACATAGTTAACAAATAGTTTTACCATGCTTCTATAATATTTGCTTTGATCTGGAATAAGAAAATTGACAGACAACACTCTGATATCTTTTACTGGAACTACAACAGTCTTAGTTGCCAGTTGTTCTTCTTTATAAATTGGATCATTCCAATATGGTCTTTCTACATCTTTTCTTTTAATGTCTCCAAATAAAGATACAGCCAATTCTTCCAAAGTATTTAAATCCTCTAAGAATTGATTACAAAAATTAATTTTAAATGTTTAACAAAAAGCCTTTGAGTTAATACCTTTTCCGAGTATAGTTAAGTACATTAAATGAGAAGAGTACCATTTAGAATGGAACTCCAATAGTTGATCACGGACACTAACATTTTTTGAATTAGGAATATCCCATAATGTCTCTTTTGTACCTAAACAACAAACATTAAAATAAAAAAATATGATATACAGCCGATTTTTTTTTAAAGATTTTAGTTAGGTATCAAATTTACCTCTACGTTTTAAAATATAATTAAAAATAATTTATTTATAGTTTACCTGTTCCAAATTGGTTATAGGAATGATTTGGATCGGCTGCATTTTTTTCTAACTGGGCTAGACGCCAAAAATCATCAGCAACATTTTTTTCATGTTCAGAATTGACAGCACCAATTTCTCTTTCAGTTGCACTTGTTGTAAACAAAGGTTCAAGGAAAAATTGAGCGAATCTAAAATAAAATTTATAAAATTTGTAAAATATAAATCATTATTGAAAAGAAAATAATATTTTTAACCTGTCCAATGATGGTTGTAGTGATTCTGTCTTGGTAGAAAAATAATAATTTGTATGGTCATTTGCGGTATATGCATTGTAAGATCCACCATTTTGTGTTAAAAATTGTGTAAATTCATTTTCTGTTGGATATTTTTTTGTACCCAAAAACAGCATGTGCTCACAAAAATGAGCTAAACCTGGCAAATCTTTAGGTTCACTCAAACTACCTAATATGGAAAGAATAATAATTATGATGAGGAATTAAAAATAAAATTCAAATTACTGCCTATATAAAAGATTGTTTTTTTTAAATATTTTATTAACAAAAGCTCAGTGAACTTATTGAAAAAAACAAAAAAAAAAAAAAAAAAAGACAATACCAATATATTAAATTAATAATATTAGAGAGAAATCACCTAACGGTTAAAAAAATATATTGTAATCAACAATTAATTTAAATAATAATTTCAAAACTTACCAACTGCAACTGATAGAGACGCCGCAGATTTGTCAGTCTCAGGATCACTTATCAATAGAGCGGTAAGACCATTTTTCATCACCAATCCCCGATAGATTCGAGAATCTCCAATTGACTTTTCGATATCATCAATACGTCTCTCGACTTTTTCAGACATGGCCAAGGGTTTTAGTGGACTGAAAAAACGAGAATATTTGTATACCATGCCATGGCGTTGGATAGGTATCGGTACATCGGTGCAGTGTACATTAAAAACAGCTATCGCCAGCACAGACAGCAATGAAAACACAATCGACCTCAGACAGTGCATGGTTAGCAATGTAAATAACCAGCATTGCTGGTCGAGTAGTAACGCGGAGAGAGGCACATTGTGCTGCTTATAATGACTAGCGAAATATTATTAAGATGTATTGATAGATAATAATAAGATTAATAATCGATTTCTTTGTGTGGGTAACCCCAAAGAGTGTTTTAATCATCGTAAACCGTTCGTAACAACTGTGCGGTGCTAGGCATTACGGATTTTTTTTTCTAACGTGAAAAAAAAATTGCAACGCTTTCCAAAACACGATACACTTACCTTTAATTTTGACTTTTGAGTACGTCTACGAGAGTAGCCAGAAGGGTAGGTACTATAGCTGCTCGATGTACAAGTGTGATGCACAACGATGAATAATAATAATAATATAAAAAAAGACGATATTATCAAATAGGATGACGTTTTTTGTCTTCGGTAGTTCAGTGTTTTCGACAAAATTTAATCAATAAACCATATTACTGTTATCACTCCCAATTTTCTAAATCCACAGACGCGGGAAAAATTGTTTAAACCTTTAATAGATTTAAATATTATCTAAAATACTATGCCACCGATATTTAAACAATATCGTATTTAAATTGTTTTCTTAATTATAGACATCAAAGTAATACACATAAACAGCATTTTAAACATTTTGGTCAGTTGATTAAACTACAAAGAGTACATTTATACGATATTAGGAAAAAACGTCAACTACAGTCATTTATACAAAAATTATGTTAGAGCCTGGAGGTACATTTAGGAAAGTTAGGAAACATACAGCTTGGTTTTAAGAAATTAAGCCACTATTATTTGTTTATCAGAATCATATTTATATGACAAATATATCAACAAATCCCATCTTGTCGGAAATAAACATCCCAGTATTTGGAAATTACTAACAAAAATGTGTCAAAAAGTAACAGAAAGGACAAGGCTAATCGGAAAAAATATATTTCATTTTTACCTACCTATATTGAGTACCTTATTGATTAAAAATTATATTATATTTTAAATGTTTTTTTAATCATTTTATCAGTACCTATCTTTTTTCTGGGACTTTTTTCCCGTTCACCCATTTATACACCATTGTCCATATATTCATTAGAATAAAGTTTAAAGCTATGACAGTCGTAAGAATATTTATAAGAATATATATAAGAATATTTAGTACCTATATACGAATGTTATATTATATTATTAATTATTATTTAAAAGCAACGATAAATCATTTCATGTAAAACGATTAGGTATATGAATGTTATAAAGTAGGTTACCTATAGACACTGCCGACAATAATATATAATGAATGTTTCCAAGTTGTATGTATTCATAAAAAAAAATTAACACAAGTAGGTACACAATAGTATGTGTATTGTGTTTTGTGTATACCTACATCAATAAATAATTTCTTTTCTTTATAAGGTAAATTTCTCATTTTACTGTTATTTTAACAATTTGTTTTTAAAAATAATAGATCTATAAATAATTCACCCAAATATTAACTATTAGATACAGTTTCTACTTTCTAGGAACCAAAACAAAAGATTCCAACTTAGAAATGTTTCGTTAAGGGTGGATCATTATAGTAATTATATTATGAAAATAAAATATTTTTTTCTCTGTATGATTATATAATATACCTAGTTAGATTGATTTTCATTGTTTTGGATTTAAAAAAAAATATTAGCTTGTGTTATTTTGTTTATTAGGTAGTTATTTTACTTAAGCCTTGAAGTGAAGTATAATAATTGGTAATACTTAAATACCTTATAAGGATTTTATCTTACCTACCCTAATCATTAATCACTAGGTAGATAACTCTTTAGACAATATTAGGTACATAAAGTCATAAAGCTTAAGATATATTAACTATTGAGTATAAAATTGATACGCTTATTGCTTATAGTTTATACATAGATACGTAAACATTGTACAACATTGTACAACATTATTTATCAATAATTTGTAGAATAATTGTTTAGTTTTATTAAACATCAAATTTGGTATATTAATCTCAATAATTCACGTGTTAGGTACAAGTGGTACAACGTACAAAGCAATGCACCACGAATTAAGATATACGTGCAATTATTATTCGTGCAATGTACCTATCCGTCTGGACTCAAGACGGATGGAAAACGAGTTATGGGTCATATACAATAATCGTTTGTTGGGTATAGACTATAGTTACTAGTTAAAATTATATTTATTTATTTTATTTTAAATTTAAAAATCTGGTGCACGGATATATAGCTTCCCCAAATATGTATAGGTAATAAGTTGGTAGGTACCTACTATAGTCTGTAGGTAATTACTAGGCATGGCACGGCGTAGGAGAATATTACCATCTGATAATTTAAACAAACACATCACGTTCGTTGCGTGTCCTGTACAATATATATTAATACATTATACATATTTTATAATATCTACATACCTACTGTATTTAACTTACTGTGGTTTTGACAGCGGGATACTATGTACTATGTATACATAATACGATATAGTATTATTGATTGGTATAATAATATAAAACCATCACTCATCGTGGCCCATGGGTAGGTATTTTACATATTTGGGAACATTTTTGGACAGGATAATCCTTGGCTTATGTCAAGTCTTAGACAAAATATAGGTATTAGAGCGAGAGGAGTGGTACTGAACCGATTATAATCCCATGGTAGGTATAAGCATATTATAATAATTACGTATTTAATATTATTATTATAATAATATTAAAAAAAAATTATTTTTATTGTTTTGAGTAGGTATGGATAAAACAATAAGGTATAATTAATATTTATCGTCGGGAGGGGCAGTGCTTATACATGTTTTCTTGGGTAATAATTAGTAGGTAGGTATAATACCTATATTAATATCCGTTAAAATAATAATAGGTATTCTATCTATCTCAATAGGAACTTGATTCATAATTAAATAATGAATAAAACGAAAAATAAAAAATAATTTTACTCCTACATTATAAATTTCATATTTTGATTATTCAACGAAAAAAATTGTGTTTTTCTGGCGAGTATTTCATTTTGATACTGCGTACTACTATTTGATGATTTTGCAACACTTGATTATACGTTTGTATTTAATATTTCGTTCTGCATTGTTATTTTTCTGCAATTATATTGTTCCCATCGAGTAGTCATAAAGTATGTACGTGTTTTTGCTGATAAGTATTATTCTAAAAATACAGTTACCTATCCAAATTATGATTTTCGAGCAATTATTTTACAAATATTATATTCAAGGATAAACGCCTAAACAATATTATATATTATGTACTCATAAAATAAATTTGTTCCAATAATATTTCTCAACATATATTTAACTATAAACAGTATAATCAGTTAACACTTTTATATATAAATCTATACAATTATTTCATATTTTTCGAGAAAATTATTAGCACACTCCGTTAAAAAAAATTAATACATTTTATTTCACGTTAAAGATTTAAACATAGGTAGGTACTGGGTGGTTTCGACTTCTGAAAGAACTGAGAAGAGCTCCCTACCAAATACCACTCTGTATCCGTTTGACTTTATTGTTGCAGGGCTTTTTTAATTTCTCGATTTTAGGTATTAAGTATTAACATAGATAAATAGCATTAACGTTTATTTTTTTTTTTTTTTAGTCTTATTAATATTTGATTTGTCAAATATATTATACCTAATATGGCTATATGTTGAATTCTAAAGCTTTGACTTTTGAGATAAATAAAAAATAAAACACTTTTTATGTAATGAAAATTAGCATCAGTTTAATATTCTACATAAACATATCACATATGAATATTCTATGCAACTTAGCCACACGAATTGCTCGACAAATGTTGCACGTCAAATGAATACTAATTAATAATTAGCAACTTTCGTTCGATTGGCCAGACAAGGGTCTCGCATAATACTTCTTTATCTCGTAAAAGGATTGTTGGCTATATGGCTACATGGTGACCGACCTGTATACTATGTTTTGTATTTTATTCATATTTTATATTGAAATTATTACAATCATTTTTAAAACAATTGTTCATTAAAATTCTACCCACTACTAAAAGTGTTTTTTTATTTACTGCCCAGTTAAAAATATTTTTACCATTCCTGCGTCATTTATTTAATCTTTCATTTGAATTAAATTTTAAAGCAAACATATAAACATGTAATATACATATATTGCTGTGTACCTAACCCATATTATAATATATGTTCTGAGAATTTTGTAAACCGAGATAAATATTGCAATTTTTTTTATTATTTTGTTCTTAGATTTTAAGTAAGAGTATAAAATGCACTAACGGCACTCCTTTTTTAGTTTCTTAACGAAATTATATATCAAAGAAACCAATCTTTTTTTACAAATGTTCAAAATAAATAAAAAATAATATATAAACATTAAACATTAAAAGGACACTGAAAGATTAAATAATTCAAAAACAGTTCCATTGTGTTCTTTAAATTAATATTCTAAAACGGGTCTTGATATTAAACCGTCGACTGCCAAATAAAATACCAGCCAAGATACACGCTTGACACGCCCAATAATTTTCGTAGTTCGTATTAATCTGCACGTATATGTTATAAAATATATGGCAGCTATATAATTGTAATAATATAAACAATATTCTTATAAAAATGTTTAAGTCAATATAAAAAATATTAGGGAGAATATAGGTAACAGCCAATATGTATATTTTAGATGCATAATTTTTCTTTAAGTTTTATAATATACATATATACACACTTGCACTATATACATAGGGATTAGAGGGATTCACCAAGCAAGAATACACCTATTTATTCAAATTCTGATTTTTAGAATTGTTAAGAATTGGTGCTTATTGACTACGTATATATATTTATTAGGTTTTCTATTCCCGTTAAGGAATATTCTGTGTTAAAACAAACTTATTTTTTTCAAATGACTATGGTAACGAGTACCACCCTTTTTATCTTTTTATTGTAAATTGTTAAGCCAATCATTTTTGTAGAAGATTT